GTGCCCTCTTGAACCGACGACGATGACGACGAAGACGACGACGACGACAACGGCGCGCCCCAATAGGCGACGACGACATTACGACGACGACGACGGCACGCCCCAACAGGCTCCCCAAGACGCCCCTAAAACCCATGCTCCCAGAAGGCCTTCTGGGAACCCGATTCATACAGACTCCGCCACCCTACACAATCATTTTCATCGAAGGCCTTTAGGAATGCAGATTGGCATGCGTGGACTGTGGTCTACTACTTCAGTGGAGCAGTGAATTCGTCAAGGTCTGGGGCCTGCTAGCACCTGAGCGCGCGCGAAGCGCGCGCGATGGTTCTAGTATATGTATATATAGATGACATGCGTACATATAGTAGTGTGGACCCGTGGAATAAATCCACGAAGTTGGGCGATCGAAGCATGGTGGCGCGCGCTGGGTGGTGCGACGCTGCCAGCTACTGCAGTAGATCGCTTGAAGCTTGTTCTAGTGCTGTTCCCCCACTGAAGGCGCCCAATGCATCGAAACGGGGGCCGAAATGTTCGAGCTTCGCAAGAGGCAGAAATTCAGGAGTCCAAGCCCGAGCAATGTTGGAAGATTCGCGCCGGGATCGCGGCGGACGCGGGAGCGGGTTCGAGCAAACGCGGCGCCGTCTCGGGTCGCGTCGGAGGCGTCGGAACGGCGTCGCGGCAAAGTAGGGAGCGCAGCGGGGCAGCCCCAGGGCCAACGGAGCGTCAAAACATGTTGTTTTTCCGCCTGCGAGGGGCCTCTCGCCTCTCGTCCGCCCCCCTCTGTTGGAAGCAATTTTGAAGCTTCTTGGGAGCCGTTTGGGAGCTCGATGGGGGCTGTTTTGGGGTCCTCGGGGGCTTCTCGGAGCCCTCTTGGGCCGGCAGGGCGCCTCGTGGGCCGTCTTGGGGCCGTCTTGGGCGCCTGTCGGGCCGTCTTGGGGCCATCGTGGGCTGTCCTGAGCCGCTCTTGGGCCTCTCGTGAGGTCCTCTTGGGTCGTCTTGGGCGCCTCTTGGGCCGTCCTGGGCCCGTCTGGGGCCATCTTTGGGCCCTCTTGGGGGCCGTCTTGGGCGATCTTGGAAGCCTCTGGGGCCGTTGTGGATGCTTCGAAAAGCAATAAGCCGAATCAGCTGAAAATGTCAATTTCCCAAAGGGAATGTGACGACTTTAGCTTGAAGGAACCCTTTCGGGGGACCCCTTGGACTCGCCTGGAATCGTCTGCGGGCGTCTTTGGGGCTCATGGGGCCGTCTGGAGAGCATCTTGGGCCGCCTGAGGTCGTCTCGGGGCCTCCATAGGCCGTCTCGGGGCTGTCCTGGGCCCCTCTTGGGCCTCTCGTGGGGTCCTCTTGGGTCGTCTTGGGCGCCTCTTGGGCCGTCCTGGGCCCGTCTGGAGTCATCTTTGGGCCCTCTTGGGGGCCGTCTTGGGCGATCTTGGAGGCCTCTGGGGCCGTTTTGGACGCTTCGAAGACCAATCAACCGAATCTGCTGAAAATGTCAACTTTCCGGAAGGAATGTGACGATTTTTGCTTGATGGAGCCCGTTCGGGGGGCCCCTTGGATCCGCCTGGAGCCGTTCGGGGGCGCCTTTTTTTACGCCAGCGCTGGACACATCAAAAGGCAACATACAATAACTCTCCTCGCGCCTTCCGCGCTACCTCCACAAATCTCGAATCTAATAACCCAAATTATCTAATCAAGGCCAGGTCCGAAGACAATGCGTCGGCTCAAAAGGCAGTGCGCAAAAGAACGTCAGGCGAGAGACTCCATGCAAAAGCACATCAGGCGAGAGATCCCTCTGCAGTCGAGGCACTGCTGCTCTGGCGCGCGCCCTTCTCCAGGCGCAGCTGCTGCGTGCACTCAACCGCGGGCGTGCTTATGTCGCTGTGGTCATCTTCGCCCAGGAGGCCTCCGACGACAAACCCTGCTCGTGCCAAGTGCTTCACGTACACGTTCAAGTACGACAAACCAATGTCAGTATGCCCGCGAACGATCTTTAGCTCGACCTTGTCAAAAGCAACCCACTCAGGTACATCGACCTCGCTCTGCGATGCGCTGTAACGATACCCTCCGGCTTGTTTCGCCTCGGCCCACGATCCGGTCACGTTAATTTCGAGCAAATACATGTCCGCGCACTGATGACCCATTCGGCGCGCATCGGCCTGCACGCGAAGCAATGCTTTTTCAGTGCGCTCCCCACGAGGGATGTTGATCAGAACATGTCTGCCAGGCACCATCAAATCAAACCGCTCGCCATGCACATTTCGCATATGCGGATCGCCCACGGCCGAAATCTGGGGCGGCGTTGGTGCTGGCGTCGGTGCAGGCGTTGGTGCTGGCGTCGGTGCTGGCGTCGGGTCCTGATAGCTAAGCCGGACGAAGCCATGTTGCGCACCATAGCCAGGATTGCCGCCCATGCCAATTCCTGTCGGCGGACTGGCTGCACCGCTGCCGCCCTGATTTGCCGAACCATCGCTCCCTTGCACAGTGCTACCTTCTAAAAGCCCGCCCGTGTAACCCGATCCGCCACCACCAGGCTGATCATTCAAAGTGTATGAACCACCGCCGTACCACCCGCCTCCGCCACCTCCTGAGAGAGGATTGCTGGAATACTTCCCCTGGTGCTGGTCTCCTTCATCGAGTCCCCCTTGGCCCTTTGCAGTTTGCGTGCCACCCTTGTTTCCACCATATGTGGCATCTCTGCCTTCAATGCCACCACCACCGCCTCCATGTCCATCATTAGTGCCCTCACCCCCACCGCCTCCTCCACCCGCAGTTGCCACATCGCTGGATGCCCGCCGGATAGCAGAACGCCCACCGCCACCCCCAGCACAATAGCCCGAATTTCCAACTCTGCCTCCACCGCCATAGGCAGAAGCAAGACCTTTGCCAGACTGTCCTCCGCCGCCCACAACAATCGTCAACGTTTCACCTGGCATCACTGCGAGGGTGCCCTGCGTGTAGCCACCGCCTCCACCAGCGGAGTCTCCGTTGTGCCTACCACCGCAAATACTATGCTCACCGCCCCCACCACCAGCCCCCCAAAGTTCCACGAAGACTGAGGAGACGCCACTTGGCACGACAAACGTTTGATCAGCACCTGTATAAGAGAAGCTCTGTGACTCTGTTCTCGACGTTGAATTGTCTCCTGTTCCGAAATGCATAGCTCCCGCGCAATCCAGCAAAGTGAAGAGCGCCGCAAAACCGTGCGACTTCATGGCACAGATATGTAGGAATGGACAGTTTGCGGTTTTGTGGTGCGACGATGTGCAATACAGCGCTTCAGCTCAGGCTTGAGCCACAACAGCGCTTGAGCCAAAATGGCTATGGCTACGGAGCCGTTCGGGGGCGCCTTTGGGGCTCCTGGAGCCGTCCGAAGAACACCGTGGACCGCCTGAAAGCCGTCTTGGGTCGTCTCAGGGCCTCCATGGGCCGTCTCGGGGCTTCTCTGGGAACTTCTGGTGCCGTTTTGGGCCCTTCCCGGGGGCCCTCCGGAGCCGTCTCGGGGTTCTCTGAGGGCTCCGGGGACCGGGGGCCCCCGCAAACCCACCAAGCATCTTCCGGACTTATTTGAATGGATATGTACCGTCCACCCGCTTTTTGATGGCCCTGGGGCCAGGCAGGGGCCCCGAGAGGCTGGAAACGACCAACACATCCCGTCCTGCTCCTGTTCGCAACGCGGGGGTGGTCTGGGCAGGCGTCCTCGAGGAAACATCAGCCTGGAATCGGCAAAACGTCGCTGATAGATCGGCGATGGGCTCCCGACAGCGAACCCACACGCTCCTTGGCAGGGTGGGTTATCGGGCCCCATATGGACTTGGGCGCCCGAGTTATCCGGGGTAACTCGGGACCAGGGTAACTCGGGTTTGGATTCCAGAGAAAGGAACCCGAGTTAGCCCTGACCCGAGTTACCCCTGATGATTCGGGGTTCTGGACGCCCTAGTTATCCGGGATAACTCGGGTCCGGGGTAACTCGGGTTTGGATTCCCGACAAACGAACCCGAGTTATCCCTGACCCGAGTTACCCCTGATGATTCGGGGCTCTGAATGGACGGTGCGTCGGCAAGTGAAGGTCGATGCGCTCACCCCTGAGCCTATCCACGTCCCCGATGGCTTTTGGGCCATCGCTCGGGCCTCCGGCGGCCGTCCGCGACGGTCGGGGCCCCCCGAAAAACGCCCTCGGCGAGGCGCGGCTGCTGGAGAGCACCAGGGCCGGAAGGCCGCCGAGGCCCGACGGAAACACCCCCAAACCCAGACCCCCTCGAGTCATGAAAAAATCACGACGGGAGGTTTTTCATCATTTTTGGACTCTGGGGGCCCTTACCGGCCCTCGGGACCGTCAAAAAACGACTCGGGATGAAGAGCCGGTCCTGGGGAAGGGGTCCAGACCTCTGGGGGTCGACGTCATGAAAAAATCATGACGTCGGGGGTCTGGGAAGCCGCGAACCCTGAGATCGGACGATGCAAACAGTGCAGGGCCGAGGAGAGTCCCGCCCGGAGCCCCAGACCCCAACTTCCTGCTGCTAATTTCTTCGAGCCCGATCGATCTGTGAGGGCCCCGGCGCCCGCGGCTGGGAGGAACTGCGGGCGAGGAAGCGCCCGTGGCGCCCGGAGCCTCAGGGACCTCGAGCCTGTCGTCGTTGTCCCTGAGCCTGGCCCCCCCTCGGTGCAGTCCAGACCCTGAGGGGAGGAGCGCCAAACAAGGGACGAAGCTCAGGTCGCGCATGTCCCCCTACGGGCGGACTCTGGGCGGAAAACGGACAACTGCCCAAACAAAAACTCCCCAATGATCACAAGTAGTCAAAACGTCGTGCCCTGAATATTCCTCCTGCAGAGGGACAGGCCCGACTTCGGCCGAAGCCCCTCCTTGGGCTCCATGCGCCTGGGTGCACGAGGAGCGCGCGGGGAGCAACCACCGAAGGACCTCAGGAGCACCCGAACACCTCCCGAACCCGAACCGTGCCCTCTCTCAGCGTGCCGAGTGCAGGGCTGCCCCTGGCCCCCATCTCCTGCCGCGCACGTCCGCCCAGGCGGAGAGCACCGGGGCGCCGCAGAGCACGCCGAGGAAGAAGGCGGTGGACGCCCAGACGGCCTGGGAGGCGCCCGCGGAGCACGGCGTGGCCGGGCCGGAGGTCAGGTCCGAGTTCAGGCTGGTCAGCGGGCTCACCCACTCCCAGCTCCTCGCCGGCGTCGCCGCCGCCGCCGCCGCCTCCTCCGCCTCCTCCTCCTCCGCCTTGCCACTCTTCCTCGTCTTCCCCGTCCTCCTCCTCCTCCTCCTCGTCCTCCTCCTCCTCCTCTTTCTCCTCCCTTTTCTGCCGTTCGCCAGACGCTGGCCTCCTCCTGCTGCTCCTCCTCCCCCCTTACGCAGGATGCGAGAGAAGGGCGGGATCGGTGGAGGGCGCCCACCAGGAAGGATGGAGGGCTGGGAGACGAGGGCAGCGGGAGGAAAGGGAGAGATAGGTGGAGAGGGGAGGAGGGGCGAGTGAGGCTGTGGAGGGCTGGGGGCGGCAAGGGGAGGAGAGCGGATGCCTTTTCCGAGGCAACTGAAACTATGACACAACTTCCTCTCGACGTGGACGATCCCATTCCCACTGTTTTTGTGTACACCGATGCTACTGTCTTGTATCCAGTGCTGCCAACATAGTTACTGCTGCGCACGTGCCCCACGCACACCAGGCGCGGGATCAGACAGCAACCATGTCGCGGCAACCGATGTGTCATTTTGCATGAGTAAGCGGCGGCCAGGATTACGAGAGCCATCACCGCCAGTGCACGCAGCTGAAACCTTTTGCCATGGTCAGCATCCAATTCGCCACTGCGATTCATGTCATCACGATTGGCGCCCAGCCCAAAAAACTTCGTTCATTTGTTGCTGCAATTGATGCCAAATTGCATTGAAGCGTTCAGACCCGTCCCTAGTGCGTCACGGAGTTCCACGGGCGCACCTAGCTAACTCTCTCGCGCAATGTGATACACGAGCGTCCCTTGCCAAGTAAAGAGCCCGCCACCTTTCCGTTGTCGCTGCCAGGAGGAATTCACCATCAGGACATGGGCCAAGCGATTGCAATCGGGATTCCACACTCGCATCTCGAACGAGATCCGTTGCTGATCATCAGCTCGAGTGGTTGTACACCTTTACAGCCTGAGGGGCGGTAATCTCGCATAGTTGTTTTCTGTCCAAGCGCGCATCCGACTGATCCGCTGCCCCTCCAGGGAGTCTATCCAAAACACTTGTTTTAGTCAGCAGCCGCAGGCGAGAGCGCACAGCGGCGAGTCGAAGGTCCAGGCGGGACGCGCGAGGTCCTAAATGACCTAGCACGAACAGGCCTACCGTCGCAATTCAGGCCGAGACCAGGAAGAGGCCGAGGGGGGGGGCAGGGCACAGAACGGGACCAGGAAGAAGACGCGAAGCACGTGCGACGAGATGCTGTCCCCAGAACTGCCCCTCCAGGGCGCTGTCCCAAACACGCGAAGACGCAACAAACTCGAACCACGTGCGACGAGATGCTGGCAACATGCACCAAGCAAACCCGGAGTCACGCGAGGGCCAACCTGCAATAGGTGAGCCAACACGTGAAACCTTAGCTCGTGCAGGAACTTGTGGAGGTGCTTGCGCTGTCCGGGGAAGGGTGTTCAAAAGTTCCGGCATCAGGCCAAGATGCGGCCTCAAATCACGGATGGACCGGCACACCCAACATAACACTTTGAACAGGTGATTTCCCCCTGGAGCCGCCCGCTGAAGCAAAATACATGACGTGAAAAGCTTCGTGGATGACCACGTAAACTTGAATCCCAATGACATGCGAAGATACAGGCCCGGGCCCCCTTGTGGCAGAGAGCTTGGCACGGCACGTTTCGTTGCCAATAGGTCGTCGCCGAATACTGGCCCCCCTTGTCAGAGAGAGGGGGAGGAGGAGGAGGAGGAGGAGGAGGAGGAGGAGGAGGAGGAGGAGGAGGAGGAGGAGGAGGAGGAGGAGGAGGAGGAGGAGAGGAAGGAGGAAGAGAGAGGAGAGGGAAAGCCTGATACGAAAATGCCCAGATTCGTATCAGCTAGTTCTGGGCAAACCTCACTGCCCTCAGATATTTGGCCTGGAAGCCTATGACGGTTGGCAGAACTGTGAGCGCAGTGGAAATACGAGTGAGGACCATTCAGATTTCCCACGGTGCGGTAACGCTACGACCACCCATAGTGCAGTACACGGCTCTTGCACGCCTGGGAAGAGTATTCCGAAGAACTGCTGTTTTCCAGCATCGTGCAAAAGTCTTTGGACTGAGTACTCTGATAGACCCTGGGCCTGCTGGAAACACTGAGACATACAGCCTTGCCAGCATCCTCACCTGTTGACAGCAGCGATGCGGCAAAGGGCATCCACAATGTTTGGTACAACTGCTGCTACCATGTTCCGAGGTCGGCATGCAACGACAGTCCTTGTCCACTTCTTCTTACAACACGACGCACTGACGCACATAATGCACAGAACAACGCCGAATGACCATTGAGTTCAAGGGCGTACGCCCGGAGTGCCATGCAACCTAGGCACGCAGTCACACATTCACGTTTCCACGACTCTAAACATACGTGATGCACGCATGTGGTCATATCCGCCACCGTGCCGCTGGGTACCACATGGAATGTCCTCTCTTGGAGTCCTCAGTGTCGAACACGGAAATGCAGTGGGGATTCCCGCGGGACTGTTCCTCAGGCCAGGGGGCCCCAAGATGCCAACAGGGTCCCAGGAGGCCGCCAAGACAGTCCAAGAGGCCGCCGAGACGGCCCAAGAAGACCCCGCCAGGATCCCCAAGAGTGGCCCACGAGACACGAGACACTGATACGCCTTCAGTGTGTGATGTATGCTAGCGTGCTCGCCTTTCCGGGCTGCCAGCTCTCCAAGACGGCGCGAGAGGGCCTCGTATGAGCCCAGGGCAGCCCCGAGACGGCCCAGGTAGTCCCCCATGAGAGCCCCTCAGGAACTAGCTGGGGCACCCAACTTCGCGCATGGCGACCCGCGAGGGCGCGACTGTCTTCGCGCTCTCGCGCCGCCCTCTCTGAGAAGGGCAACCGCTCCGGCCCAGACCGCGACGCGCAAAGCGCGATCATCTTCGCGCCCCCGCGTGGGAGCTGGAAATTACCGCAGAGTGTAGCGACCCCAATTTCCGACCTTGAGGGACTTCCGACTGGACAAACAAGTCGGCCCGAATTCAAGGATAGAAGATGGGGGTCGTCCATCCTAGATAGGGGTGCGTCCGAAGAGCATCCCCCCTGTGTGTGCGCGCGTGTGTGTTTGATCCCGCAAATGCGCGGTCGCGGGGATGCGTTCAGAGCTGGCCATCCGCGAACAAACGCCCCGTATCCGCGGGGTCGCGCCCAAGGGCCTGGCCCGCGAGGCCGCGGATACGGACACTTGCTTCGCTCGCCCGCGACGGGGGGGGCGCGGGGGGTTGGGTTCAAGCTGCCCCTGCCTCGCAGGACGGCGAGGGGGAGGAGGAGGGGGAGGAGGGGGAGGAGGGGGAGGAGGAGTGGGAAGAGGGGGAGGAGGAGGAGGAGGAGGAGGAGGGAGGAGGAGGAGGAGGAGGAGGAGGAGGAGGAAAGGAGGAGGAGGAGGAGGAGGAGGAGGAGGGAGGAGGAGGAGGAACCCCTGGAGGGGCCGGGGCTCCCGCCCACCGACCCCCCCCCCGCGCCTCCGGGAACTTTCCCGGCCCTTCGGGGCCCCTCCCAGCCCCTCTTCAGGGGGGTTCACGCTCTCCCGAGAACCTCCTCCTGGCCTGACCCCCCCCCTCGCCCCTCCTCGCCCCTCCCAGCCCCTCTTTTCGGGGGCTTCCCGCCCCCCGACGCTCTCCCGAGAACCCCCTCCTCGCCGAACCCCCCCTCGCCCCTCGCCCTCGCCCCGCGAACGCCCTCTTGGCCTGACCCCCCCTCGCCCTGACGCTCTCCCGAGAACGCCCTCGCCCCTCCTCGCCCCTCCTGGCCCCTCCTCAGGGGGGCTCCTGCCAAAGGCGCCATCGACAGTCATCGGGAAGCAGTGCAGACGCCAGCCAGGTGCGCGACGCCCGCGGGGTGGGGGTGAGGGGGGGGCGGAAGCCCCGTGGCGAGGGGCGTGCCATTCTGGGCCCCGCGGCAGGTGCGCGCGCTCGGGCCCAGCGGGGGCCTCGGCTGAGCCTCCAGGGGGAGGGGGATGCCCAGGGGGAGGAGGGGGGAGACAAGGAGGAGGAGGAGGAGGAGGAGGAGGAGGAGGAGGAGGAGGAGGCCCAGGGGGCGCATCAGGACCAGGAGCAGGATCAGGCCCGTAGGAGTCCGTCTGCTTCTGCTTATCACCTGCTGAATGGCTGCTCGGCTGGCTCAAATGTGGGAGAATGTTTGGGGGGGCGAAAACTGATGTCACCGAACCTTCAAGTGCAGCCCGTAACTCACGACGGACGCCGCACCGCCCCTGCGAGCACGCCCAAACCAGCAAGCTGCCTCACGAGGAGGGACTTGCCTGCGACGCCTGCGAGTTGTGCCACAAGCCTCTCTAATCACCATCCCCTCTTTTGCACGTGCGCGTGAGGCGGTACTGTCTTCACCTTCCCCTCTGCTTTCATGGTAGGACTTCGGATCCACTGGCCCTTGGGCAGTGAGCGAGCGAGGAGGAGGGCCTTGGCAGACGGAGATCTGGGGGGGGGGGGGGGGCGGGGGCCGTCCCGATAGCCGGTGCACTTGTTGCCGAAAGAATGGTGAGATCAGATGGCGAGGAGACAGTGACCATGATGAGAGAAGAAGCATGGTGACAAGAGGATGCTAGGAGGGGGTTCCTTGATGAGGACGCGTGATCGGACCACTGCTGTTGACGCAAAGGCCCAGCGCTTAAAAACCATGGGCTGGGACCAACACGCTGCGGTAATACCACCAGCACCACGCGCTCGTCGTATCGATCCACGTGAAACAGCAGGCTGCACAATGGCCTGAACGTGCCTTGTGAACGCATTCAAACCTCTTGCTTTGAAACCCTCGGCCCCCGAACGGCGCGACTTCTTTGTAAACCGCAAGCCAGTCGAGGTAATATTTCACGAGGGAGCTGGTGTTCCTAAATTTTGAGGCGAAGGTGGTAATACACAATCACAGGTTAAAGCAGAACACAGACAAGAGGAAACCCTACACCCAATGGGGCTCTGAGGCACGCCAGGCGTTAGTTACAGGTCCCTGCCTCTGTGGTGCTTATAATGGGTGAAACAACGCGCCTACATGGAATGCCGTGCGAGTGAGGAGATAACGGAAGGATTCATTGTGCAACGAATTAAACATTCAGTATCTCGCAGGACTTACGGCGAGAGAGAAAAAAAGCTTTCAGCCCAGTGCACGGTGATGGCGGGGCACACTTACAGCGATTGCACGGTGCCAGCCGCACTCTTACAGTAGCTCCAGCGGTTGGTTATACACCCATGAACCACCGTGCCGCGAGGCACTGAGCAGATGGTCATTCAATCCTTTCGAATCCCATGTGTCGTCACAACAAATACAATTGAAAGGCACCGTGTACTGGATTTTCTGGGAACTCTCGGACGCCGCTGGGGCTTTCCGCGTGAGTTTCCCCGAAGCCCCCCCAAGGGAGAGGCCGAAATGGCCTCAGGAGCTCAAAGCATTGCGCGCAGCCCTGTCGAATGAAGAGTTCTCATCGGGACCTGGTGTAGCGTTGTCCACAACCCAAGCACGGTGGCGGAAAGGGCGGCAAGCCACTAGATCCGCCGCCCCCATTGGCATGCCACAGGGATGCTTGGCGTGCCCCAAAGTTTTGAGCACTCCGACTCCGTGGCTCTCCAAGACGTTCCCAATTGCAATCGGCGCATCCCGCTGGCCACCCGGCAGGCCACACAACAGGTGTCTCCCATCAGTTCCCCCGCCCGTGATTGCTCCAAGAAGGCCTCCAAGACGGTCCCAAGACGCTTCCAAAATGGTCAAGGTGGCCACAAGACGGCCCTCGATACGGCCCAAGAGGGCTCCAGAAGGTCAACCAGGAGGGCCAACGGTCACATTCATCATACATCCGCTGGCCTTTTTGTGGGGCCATCAGGCTACGAGGGTTAGGTTGGTTTGCTGCTCCCTGCTCAAGTTCCAGTTTCGGAAAGAGCGTGTTCTACCGCTGCTGGCGGAAAACCGGGGGGGGTCACTACCGGTTCGAACCCCTCCCCCCCCCCTCCGGAAAACCGGGGGGGGTCACTACCGGTTCGAACCCCTCCCCCCCCCCCCCCCAGCTCATCATGAAAAGGGGGGGGGGTCACTACCGGTTCGAACCCCCCCCCTCCCCCTCGAAAACCGAGTGGGGGTGGTTCGGACCGAGTGGTGGGCGGACAGTGGTGGGGACGTTGGTGGGGACAGTGGTGAGGGGATAGCGGGACAGTGGTGGGGACAGTGGGACAGTGGGACAGTGGTGGGGACGGTAGTGGTGGGGACAGTGGTGGGGACAATGGTGGGAACAGGGGGGGACAGTGGACAGTGGTGGTGACGGTGGTGGTGGGGACAGTGGTGTGGGGACAATGGGAATGAGGTGGAAACAGTGGGACAGTGGAGGGTACAATGGTGGTGGGGACAGTGGTGAAGGCGGTGGCGAGGACGGCGGTGGGACAATGGGACAGAGGTACAGTGGGGACAGTGGTGGGGACAGTGGGGACAGTGGTGGGAACAGTGGGACAGCTCAGTGGGACAGCGGAGGAGTCAGTGGGACAGTGGGGACAGTGGGGATAGTCGGGCAGTGGTTGGGGCCGTGGAGACAGTGGGGAGAGTGGAACCGTGGTGGGAACAGTTCTGGGGACAGCGGGGACAGTGCGACAGTGGTGGGGCCACTGGTGGGGACAGTAGGGGCGGTGGTGGAACCAGTGGGGACAGCGGTGGTGAGGACAGTGGTGCTGGGAACACCAGTGGGGGATGTGATGCGGACGGTGGTGGGGACCGGGAGTCGTTTGCTGGCGGTGAGTAGGGGGGGGGGGGGGGGGGGTCGAACCGGTAGTGACCCCCCCCCGGTTTTCGAGCGGGAGGGGTGGGGGGGGGGGGAGAGGGGGTCGAACGGTAGTGACCCCCCGGGGTTTTAGTGACCCCCCCCGGTTTTCTCGGGAGGGATGGGGGGGGGGGTGGGGGAGGGATTGGGGAGGGGGGGGGGCTTGCCGGGGGAGAGGGGGGGGGGGGGGGATGGGGTTCCAGCAGGGTGAGGGGGGGGATTTTCGGAGGGGGGGGGGGGGAGCGACCCCCGGGTTCCGGAGGAAAAGGTTGGCAATTTTCCACAGTAAAGCGGCGGTGGATCACGCTCTCTCCAGTTTCGAGTATCCAATGTTATTGAAGGGGCCCCAGGACACACAAATAAATACACACAAATCAAAAGATCCCCCATAGTTTCTCATATTTTCTGGGTTTCTGTCTTCCCCCCAATTCCCATATGTTCCCATATTTTCTTCGGAATCGACGATTAATTGTGTCTGTGTGTGTTTTCCCCTCCTGAGTTATAGTGCCACGCTCTACTTCTGTGAACTGTCGACGTCCGCGCGAGGGGGGGGGGCAGGAGCGACAAGGGCCCTGCTCTCACGCCCGGATCGCGTGCTCTGTATGCCTGAGGGTCGTGGGACACGTGCAAGAAAATTCGACCCCCCCAAGCCATAATATGTAGCAGAAAACACGGTGCTCGCGTCCCCGAGGCAAAACACGCTCGTAAGCCACACGATATCCGCGTTCTGGAAGACATAATCCTTTGTAAATCATGTAATGGTCGAACCCCGAACCAATAATGCCTCGTCAGTCGTCAAATGTGCAATATTCGAGCCCCCCGAAGCCATAAACGTTAGTACAATACGCCAACGTCGCGTCCTCGGGGTCGTAATCCCGTGTGCACTACGCAGTAGTCGTGTCCCCGAGGCAGCGGTGCCTCGCACATTGGAAGATAATCGCATCCCGGAAGCAGCCCCTGCCTAAGTTTTACAATATTCGCGTCCCCGAGGCAACGATCCCCCGCAAAGTACAGAGGTGTCACAATCCCTGGTGAAATACCCCGTATCCACGTCCCTAAAGGCCATCTGCTTTTATACATTACGCGATATTGGCGCTCCCAGAAGGCCACGCTCCCTCGTAAGTCCAATCGTATGTGCGTCCTCGAGGCCATGCTCCTTCCTAACTTGCGTGCGCTAGACTCGAGTCCCCGAGGCCACACTCCCGTGCGAACTACACCATATTCGTGTCCCCGAAGCCATGATCCTGTCTAAGTGTGCAGATCTGTTGTAAACTGCGCATCTGTCGCGTTTCCGAGGCCACGATCCCTCGCAGGTGGTGCAAACTTTGCATGTCCGAGGCAACGAGTCATGGTAGATTATACACTGTTCGCGGTCCCAAGGCCACGATCACTAGTAGATTACGCCGCGTTCTCACCCTCGAGGCAACCGTTCCTTATGAAATACTCCGAGAAACCCGAAGACCGCCCCAGCCGCGCGATTGTGTCCAACGTAGCCTTAAGCAGCCCCCAGTCGTTCCAGGACCTCCAATACTCAGCATGAGGGAAAAGTTAGAAAAAAAGTCAACACAGAGTTCAATGATGTCATCTGGATTTTGATGCGTTTTGCTGGGCCGCCGAGCACGCGTTCGATCGTTATTGCTCGAGTGGCAGCTGCAAGCTATCTGTTATGATAGAGAAGGGGCCGGCGGCAAGGCGCGAAGACCTCGCTGCGAAAAAAACTGATGTATATACTTGTGCTAATGCAATGGGTATCTATGTACATCGAACACTGATCCGACACAACTCCGGGTCCGTCCGGGGAGGGTCGCGAGCGCCTCAGGAGGGCCTAAGACGGCCCCAAGACAGCCCCGGAGGGCCCCAGGAGGCCTCAGCAGGGCCCGACGAGCGCCTCAAGACGGCCACGATGGGCCCAAGATGGCCCGAGATGGGCCCAAGATGGCCCCAGTGTTCTCCCTATGGTTTGCACGGCTGTAGTGTGGTTTGCATGGCCCCAGTGTTCTCCAAATGGTTCTCCCAATGGGCCCCAGTGTTCTCCCAGTGTACGGCTGGGGGAACACGCAGTACAGCAGCGTGGCTGCACTTTCGCTCGACGTTGCACTACACAGCCGTATCAAAAGGCAGTGAGCGGCGGTGTCTAACCGTAGGCATCTTCTATACACAAGCGAGTGCGCTGACAGTCTCGCGGGGGGGGAGGAGTGCGCTTGGGGACGGAATAACACATGTTGGAGGGGGCGACGGTGGGACGAGGCATCAAACTCGGAAAGACTTGCCAAACTTGGCAAGAACGTCAACTGAGACAGAGGAAGAACATCGGAAAAGAGAAGACAAGCCAAGTGGGGACGTCAAACAAGGGCAAAGAGGGCTGTGTAGAAACAACGACTTGACCTGGGCCTCCTGGAGGGACTGGACGAGGGTGATCAGGTGGGAGGGCGGCAGGACAATGAGAGAGGGAAGGTGACTGTGTGAGCGGCGGCAGACAAAACAGACCTAGTACACTCAGACACGTAGCCACGACTGCCGAGCAGAAGCGGAGATGCTGCCAGCCCCGTGCCGATTTTGCCTAGATGCAAGCGGCAGTCTTGGGGATGCGGCGGCTACACTCTCTGCCACCTCGGCGTGCCAATGACGACCTGCCTCAAGGTTGATGAAACTTGCGGCTGCCGCGCGGAAGCGGAGATGCTGCCACTTCCGTGCCGATGTTGCCCACATGCAAGCGGCAGTCTTGGGGAAGCGGCGGCTACACTCTCTGCCACCTCGGCGTGCCGATGACGACGTGCCTCAGGGGTGATCAACTCGCGGTCGATGTCGACGCCGAGGGCGGTGACCGACAAGGCCGCGCCCGATCAGTGGACGACCTCCCTGCAGAGCGGGCAGCCGCAAGTGCCGTGGCGAGCCAGCCACCGCACGATGCACCGCTGATGGAAGCCGTGCCTGCGGAGCCCCGCGAGTAATACGACGGGCACGCCTACCCCTTCCCTCCCAGGAGGAGGAGGACGAGGAGGAGGACGAGGAGGATAAGGATATAGGATACAGAAGGCGGAGGGGGAGGAGGCGGAGGAGGAGGAGGAGGAGGAGGAGGAGGAGGAGGAGCAAGCGAGAAGGAGGAGCTAAGCGAGGAGGAGGAGGAGGAGGTGGAGGAGGAGGAGGAGGAGAGCGAGCAAGGAGGATAGGATGAGAGGACGAGCAAGGAGGAGGAGGAGCGAGGATGAGAGGAGGAGGTGAGGGGAGGAAAGAGGAGGAGGAGGTGGTGGAGTGAGAGAGGAGGAGGAGGAGGGCCTCCTCCTCCCCTCTCCATCCTCCTCCTCTCCTCCCCCTCGCTGCTCTATCTCTCCTCCTCCTGCTCAGGCCCCCGTGCCCGATCGCCCCCTCGCTGCTGACCCTCCCCCGCGGCTGCCGCCCCAACCCCTCCCCTCGACCCCCCTCACGGCGTCGTCCCCCTTCCTCCTCCCCCCTTCTTCCTTCTCCTCCCCCCCATTCTCCTCCTCCCTCCTCCTCCTCCTCTCCCTCCTCCGCCTACCTCCACCCTCTCCTCCTCCTTCTCCTCCTCCGCCTCCCCCTCCTCCTCCTTCTCCTCCTCCTCCTCCCCCTCGTCCTCCTCCTCGTCCCATCATCGTCATCCTCATCCTGCTCCCCCCCGTGTCCTCTACCTCCTCCATCATATCTCCTCCTTCTCTGCTCCCACGATCCTGTTGCGCATGACACGATGGGATCTCTTTGGGAGTTCCAGGTCCGCTACGACACGCGTCGACGGATAGATAATCAACGAATGCAATCGGAAGGGATGGTTGGGAAGGGCAGACTGTCAGACAATTCTGGCGCGAGCGCACCTAGCTTGCCTTGACAATTGTTGTCGGGGGTCTCCTCTCTGGAGGCCGCCCCTTTAGGTCCGACACCTTCCCGGCGGACCTCCGCATGGCGAAAAGGTGTTTGGCGACCTGGGCGCCAATCTGACTCGAGAGGAAAAGATCCGACGTGGGATCCCGGAGAACACTCTCCCGACGCAGTGCGGTGCTGCAGCGACTGAGTCTGACGCAGGCCACAGAAAGCTTTCAGAGCTTCCCCCCCCCTCTCTCCGCCCCCCCCCCTGCTTGGCGACCATGGCAAGTCCGCGTGAGCTTCGTCCGAGGCGACCGCTCCAACAGAGGGAGCGCAGAGCCCATCCCTCGCCCAAGCCATCCCAGGACTACAAGGTAAAGTGGGAGGAGGATGGGAAGGGGGATGGGGGATGAGGAGGGGGAGGGGAAGGGGGAGGGGAAGGAGGAGGAGGAGGAGGAGGAGGAGGGGGAGGAGGAGGAGGGCGACGAAGACGACGAGAGGGACAGCACAGCAGCATACACCCTCGGAGGTCCGCTCGGGCTCCCGTGGCGCGGCGCTGGGCCCAGCCCTCCGGGCACGCGGAGCAACTCGGAGACGGCGCCGGAGGCGCCGCCAATGGGGGCCCAGCGCCGACCCGAGAAGCCTGCGGCGCGGACCTCGGGAAGTGTGCCCTGCTGTGTCTGCTGCCCGCAGTACTCTTCGAGAGCACGGCGAGACGAACGACTTCGAGAGCACGGCAGGACGAAAGGAGGGCGCACGAGGGCGGAGGGGCGGGAGGAGGCGGAGCTCGGGAAGTTAGTCCTGATACCGAGGAAGGGCGCAGGAGGGCGGAGAGGCAGGAGGAGGGCGACGGGGTGAGGGGGGGAGCTGGCCTTCCAGAGGTCTGACTTCCGGAGGTCCGCGCGGGGGACTCCTACGCACGCTGACATGGATTGGGGATCCATGGATGTGGCGCGTCGGCACCAGATGCACGGATCGGGGAATGTAACCCCCGAGACATGCAGGCAACACCACCCGAGCTAGCGACAGAGCGCGCCGACGTGGTATGGAAACGGGACCGGTCGCTTCTCCACGCGCCTTAATCAGATGTTTGCGGTTCCTCGTCGAGATTGGCGGCGGATGGCCGATTGGGGGTCGATGCTCCCCCCCTGAGCCTGTCGTTGCAACTGGAGGGGGGATGGCGGAGAGGCGGAAAAGGAGGTGTACGTGCTGGTGGCGTCCACAGATCGGGCCCCGCGCTGCCCGCACTGGAGGCCCGCGACCCGCTCGTCGGACTCCACGTCCTGAGGAGGGGGGAGGAGGAAGCAAGAGGGAGGGGCAGGAGTCCGGGCAGGAGTAGGGATGGGCAGCAGGGAAGGAGGATAGATGAGCAGAGCGCTGCATAACGCATGGGCATGAGCTTGCGAAGGTCCGCGCGGACTTCTTGGGACAGCGCGAGAGCCTCCACAACCTGGCACGCACAGCGCGCCAGAGGCGCCGCCACGTCCCAAGAACCAAGACATCCACGCAGACCTCCGAAAGTGTATGGCTATGCTGTTTTTCACTCCTCGAGGGGAGGAGGGATGGGGGGGGAGGGGTGCATGGGGCAAGGGAGGGAGCGAACGGCAAACGAGTCCCCGGCCTGGACCCCTCCCGCAACCCAAACGCACTACTTTTCCGAGCGCGCGGCGTCCAGCCGTGGCGACGAGGGGCTCCGCCCCAAACCCCTCTGCCCTTCGCCCCTCCCTGCGGGGGAGGAGCGGGCGCGGCCTCCATGCAGATGGCGCAGGAGTCCATCGCGATGTCGCCGGCACGGATGGTGCGCTTTAGGACGAGCGCGGTCGTCTGGAGGGTCCGGTCCGTGACGTGGCACTTCGAGAGGAGCGCCATGGCCCCAGGCGCAGCGGGGCGGACAACCATCTCGACAGAGCTGGACTTGGCCATCTCCTCCATGATGGCCCACGGGGCGGTGATGCCGTTCACCGAGACGATGCTGTCGCCGGGGGCCACGGCCGCCGATGGGTTCTCCTTGATCCACTGGCTCAGCGCACCGCCCTCGGGGATGAACATGATCATGAGACCGGCCTCCTGCGGGGAGGAGGAA